ACTGTTTTCTAACGTTTCATGGTAATTTGCATTCACTGAGGAATTAAATGGATCTGTGATACACATTTAATTTATTCTGTAAGTAATGGCATGTTTTAAGGGGACTCAAAGTAATCATAATAATGGCAAGTCAACAAATCTTTGACAATTAGCATAGCAATGAATGTAAAAACACGGGCGGGGGAAATGAAGGTATTTTTCAGAGGTCATTTCCAAGAACATTTTATACATTTACATGACATATAGCCAAACTAGAAATTCCGTGTAGTCTGTGCAAGTGACACTCGCGTTAAAATCAACAAGAACAGTAGAAACAATTTGAAAAATGACTTAAAAATGCAGTTATTGGGAAAAGAAAGCCAATGAAACAGTTGCTGAATAAAAAGAATGATTGTAGTTAATACTTTTGAGATTCCCCTAATAAGAATTATGTTTCAGAATCTAGTGTAAATCTGTTTCTAAAAGATTTAGGTGTATGGCTTATTGCAGACGAATGCTTTTGTAGAAAAGGAAGAATCTGTTTTCGAAGTGACCAAAGTTATGTCAAGTTGTACTTAAACCTTGAGGTAGAGACAAAAATGCAGGAAAAGGTACACATTCTTGTCATGATTTGCTAATTAACTCATTAATTGTTCTGATAGTCTTGGGATTTCCTTCTACCTATAACTTAAAATTGTTTTCAACTTTAGTGTGTGTAGGAATAACACAAAGGGCTAAACATGGGTATTCCAGGACCCCATCACAATTTTGATTTGTTAAAATTTGGGGGAAGGCTTTGAAATCTGCATTTTAACAAACCTTAGCTGAGATTCAGATTAGATAAACTAGCCCACAGCTGGAGAAAGAAACACAGCAGTAGACCAATTTCTAAGGGTGAACTCTGACTATGTACCTTTATTTTGGAGTGGTTGGTTGGAAATAACATATGCTCTCATACATGGCTTTTTTTTTTTTTTTTTTTTGAGGCGGAGTCTGGCTCTGTCACTCAGGTTGGAGTGCAGTAGTGCATTCTTGGCTCACTGCAACCTCTGCCTCCCGAGTTCAAGTGATTCTTTTGTCTCATCCTCCCAAGTAACTGGGATTACAGGCATGCACCACCATGCCTGGCTGTTTTTTTTTTGTATTTTTAGGATTAGCACGAAATCTTACCATATTCCTGTGTCTGGCAGCACAGAGGAAGGATAGAAAAACAGTTCCTGTTGCTGGGAAAATCCCCATTTCCTCATATTTAAAATGAGAGTTGGACTAAATGCTGTCTACATTCCTCTGTAGTTCCAATACTTTAAATATGTATCTGACGCCTGGCAAATATTTCTTGAAAACTGTGACTCATGTATTGGCTAGTGTGGTGGATGGAACGAGCCTGGGAAAAATAGAAAGGAGGCTTCAGGCCATAAAATCAGTTAAGAAGTTTCCTAAGACTCCCCTCCCTGCCCTCACTCTTCAGTCACAAGGTAGGGACCCTTGCATGGCAATTAGATATATGAACTCCATGTTCAAATGAAAAAGATTTTATCTTAACTTTGAAAAGCTTTTTAAGCAACCATCTACATATCATTATCAGTCATTAGACGTATTTGTTGCCAAGCTGCCATCTCTGTGTTGATGGCTGATTAGTATACATAAAAACCATGCTTAGAATAAATTTTAATAATTCTGTCACCAACAACATAAACACAACCAACATCATTTGTGTTACCAATAATTTAATTCAGAAGGTTCCCATTTGACTCTCTGTTAGGTAATCAGCTAATTTCTTTGCTTGGTGCTGTTGTAATCATTTTTTGTTTTTTGTTTAACATATGAGGCAGGGACTGTGACATTAAGTCACATAAAACAATAATGGGCTGTTGAATACTGAAAACTCTATTGGAGGAGTCATGCCTTACTTTATTTTACATGATGTAAGTGGACTAAAAATAATCTGTTGATTGAGAGTTGATTCTAGTCACAAACATGTACTTTATTTTTAAAAAGTGTATTGCTTAGTAAAAGACATTTGCAAATAGTTGTAGCAAAGACTATGAATATAAGACAGAGTTTCCTAATTCATATACTTTCTCAATTGTGTACTACATCAACTGCTAGATGTTGCTCTCAGCACTAGACAGAGAAAGCGGGGGGGAAATGCCAGTTGAAGTTTCTATTCTCATGGGGTTTCATACTAAGGGGTTAGAAAGACATGAATAAGGAAATAAATATGTAATATAACAAATGCTAAGTAGAAAATAAAATAGGGTAGGGGACAAAAGGTGGAGATAATGTTATACTGATTTGTCAAAGGAGTCATTCTAATAAGGTGACAATTGTGCAGAGACCTGATAAAGAATGAGCTATAAAAATATTAGGGAAAGTGAGTTCCAGGTAGTAGCAATGGCAACCAAAATATCTGAAATATTCTAAAAAGTACAGTATGAATTTGAAGAACTTAGAACCTGGGCTTTTTGAAAATTTTTGGAGGATCTCCTACAGCATAAGTTCTCCTTTTTCTATTAAGCCTCTCTGACCACTCAAATGCTACGGACCTCCTGTTCCCATGAACTTCTATAGAATTATAGGCTTGTAATTTAACACAACTAAATACTATTTTTGTCTTGTTTTGAGGGGTAGTGTGGGGTTAGTCTAATTTTCTTAGTTGCATTGCAAATTTATGAACAAAGAACATAGTTTGTGCTATTTCTGACAACAAAACTTCTAGCCTTTGTGTCCTGGTGTTGAACATATATTAGATCCTTAATAAAAGTTATTTGATTACCCAAACACTGTACAAGCAAAATTATGTGCAATGTAAAGTTTCTTAATAGGAAATGTTTCCTTGTCAAGATCCTATAGGTGTGGCATGGAATTGCTGTTAGGGTCAAGTACTTTTATTTGCAACGAATGCACCCACCCCTTAGATATACAAAAGCCAACTAAAAAGGAGAAAAATATAACAAATGAGGAGATATATTAAAAGACTTTATTCACAATAGAGAAATTTTACAAATATAATTTTTAAAAATTATGTGTCAATCTATTGTTTCCCATAACATTGGAGATTTATATATAAAGTTGAAAATGACAGAATGGATTTATGTAAAAATCAAAAACAATGTACACAATGTATAGCTCATGTGAAAACATCATGACAAGTCACTGAGTTCTGTAAACTGCCATACAACTTACATGTGTAATATTAATTGCACAAAGTATATCAAGACATATTGAAGAAACACAAAATTAAGTGCTACTTTAACTGTTCATTTTTCAGTATGTGAATACATATATAAATTTAACTGCACAGTTTTGTTGAAAATAAGTTTCTACTTAAAGACTTCAGTTGTTAAAATTAACCCAAAATATAACTTTAATTAAATTACATCACTATAATATTACTCTCTTATCTTGTTTACATTTTTGGTGTTTTGGGACTTTTGTTAAAAAAAATCCAAGTTCTAGAATTGCAAAAACTTCATTGCTGCCACTGAGAGAGCAACATATAGTACAGCTTCTTGTCTATTCACACCAGGACACCAAGGTACCTTACAGTGCAGTGTGTACACACAACCTGATTTTAATACTGTATCTGCTGCAGAAGTACTTATCAACTTTGTGCTCTTTCAAATCAAACTGAAAAGAAAATGAGTTAATTTAAATGGCAAGTTCAAGGACATTTATACAAACATTATAATCTTAATACATATGGCCCAATTTTGGCAATAATTTTTAATATTTTGCTTTAAAGTCCTGGGAACAAAGGGCTCTTGCTATCCATTTATTTCATTAGGTGAACTGAAGACATGAGTGGGAGAAATTATTCTGGATCACAGAGACACATTACCATGGAAATGATGATGTATGGAAGAGTCTTTTGCATTTACTAATTTTACTAGTTTATTCTCTGACATACACCAATGTATGATACTGAAAAACAGAAAGCAGGTCATAAAGGTGGTTCTGTCAGATAAAGGCAATCTTTTAAAACACTTTCAAATGCTAAAATAACTAAAACTATTAAGCCTATAGCTAAGAAAATAATTGTCTTCAGTAATATTAGGTGGAATCATATGAAACTGTGGACAGTTTTTAAACTACAAATGCAGCAATTTCATATGCTTCAGCCTAATCCATGGGGTTGTACTGATCTTTCTGACCATTCTCAGCTGAAAATTCACATGGTCAAAGTCTTTGCACTTTAGTATATGCATCATATTAGCCCTTTCATGGAAGTATCTCTATCCACATAAATATATATGCATATATAGCGAGCCAGTGTGAGCAAACACAAGGTGTCACCAAATCTATTCTTGAGAAAACCATTCCTATTTCAAACTTAATGTTTAAAAGAATCAGATATTGATTTTTATCTACTCCAGGACTGTGGGGGATTGGGAGTGGCCGTTTCTTTATATTTCTTCTAAGTTGTGATCTCTATGTTGAATATAACCATACTAAATATGCTATATTCTTATTTGGCCTAAAATTTATTAGATTTTCCTTGATTGATCATGAATAAGCAAAATTGGCAAAGCTTCCTTCAGAGCCAAATCCTGCTTTCACAAACTGAAAGGAAATAATTTACTACATTTGAGATAGAGCCTTTTTCAAATCTGAGAAATCTGAACCAAACAGAATGCTTTATTTTCCCAAGGAAAAAAATCAAGATGAAATACAAACAAATGGAACTAAAAGCCACATGAAATACCCTCTCTTGGCCGGGCGTGGTGGCTCAAGCCTGTAATCCCAGCACTTTGGGAGGCCAAGGTGGGTGGATCACGAGGTCAGGAGATTGAGACCATCCTGGCTAACACGGTGAAACCCAGTCCCATCTCTACTAAAAACACAAAAAATTAGCCGGGCGTGGTGGTGGGCACCTATAGTCCCAGCTACTTGGGAGTCTGAGGCAGGAGAATGGCATGAACCCAGGGGGCGGAGGTTGCAGTGAGCCGAGATAGCGCCACTGCACTCCAGTCTGGGCGACAGAGCAAGACTCCGTCTCAAAAAAAAAAAGAAAGGAAATGCCCTCTCTTTAGAGAGACCCAATTTCTTCATATATTCAGTTAAACACAAAAGCTAATCCATTAAATTATACTATTTTCTTTAGAAAAATGTAATTCAGTGATAGCAGAGCTCTGCAAAATTTGAGAGCTCACCTCTCTGTGTAGTAGGGAATGGAAGAAATTAACCAGTATATAATTCAGAATTGACACAGGGCAGTAAAGTAAAATTAAAGGACACATTTACAAAATAGAAAACACTAATATAATTAACCAACAAAAATACACTGCAGTTCCGATGAAATGAGGTCAACATGAGATGATCCTTTTGGAATGACTTTCTAATTTGAATTATAATGTGAGTGAAGTATTTTAGAAGACATTCTATCAAATAATGATAGACCTGCATAAAGAGGCTGTCACAGTTAGAAGATCTGTCTCTGGTGGACAGACAAACCAGATTAACATGAAATTGAAAAGGAAAAAGCTTTTTTATACTTATTATTATGGCTTTTTGCAACATGGCAAAACATTACAGCTTAAAGCAGACATCATCTCCTCTTAGAGGAGGAAAAAGTTTTGCAGTCAAATCAAATTGTAATTAAGAGGTCATTGCTATACCATTCTACTCAGTTTAATAAAAATGGTATTACACCTTCATGAACTCCAGAGATAATAGGTTACTTAAAAACAAACAAAAAACTGGTGGATACACTGGCTGAATAATAAAGGATACGATAAGGAATTTAGGTCCACCTATACTTATGATAATAAACATAAAAGACTGCAAAACAATTTTAAGACCTTAATCACAGACCTACAAATCAAAGTTCATCATGTGCCTGATTACCAGGAAAGGAATTATTAAGGTATGCAGTGAAGGGAATGGAGCAGAGTAAAATACAAAATGTCTTTTTATTCCTCTCTGATTTCAACTTCCTTTTTTTCTTTACGGAGGATAGGGAGAAGATGTGCCTCGCTATTGAAGATCCAATGCTCCAGTGGAAGAAGATCATCGTCAGAAAATATTAGGTACAAATATCTGGTGAGAGAAACGTAAGTATTTGAGGCCCAAGGGCAGGCAGTGAAACCACAAACACACGGCAAAAACCACATCAGTGTCTCCATTCATCTTACCGAGAAACATGGACAAGAGTCAAACATATCAACAAAACCCTGAGGGGTTATACTCACTAACGTGGGGTAAAGAAGCTACTCAGTGCTTTGGTGTTGGCAGTACCAAGTCACTGAACCTAGTTATTGAGAATACGCCTGCAATTATAGCCACGCCTGATATTCTGAATCAGTCACACTTGATATTACTTCAATGTGTTCATGATAAAAGACATCTACAAAGATCTGTCCAGGTACCTCAGCCACATGGTTTTAGAATAATTTTTACCTACTTCAATGTCTCTGCCAGGAAGAAACTCTGCTGCACATCATCGTAACTCTCATGAAGAAGGTAAACATCCCTTAGGCCTGAATAGCCTCCATTCACTCTGCAATGGTTTTCCAAGGCCTAAATTACAAAGAGGAGGGGAAAAAAATGGTCACATTTTAATAAGCTGATCGTCACTAATTTTTATTATTAGACTGTCAAGTTCAGATAAAACTTTTTATTTTTTATTTTTTTGAGACAGGGCCTCACTCTGTTGCCTAGGCGGAGTACAGTGGTACCATCACGGCTCACTGCAGCCTCTACCGCTTGGGCTCAGGTGATTCTCCTGCCTCAGCTTCCCAAGTAGCTGGGACCACAGGCATGTGCCACCATGCCTGGCTAATTTTTTGTAGAGATGGGGTTTTGCCATGTTGCCCAGGCTTGTCTCAAACTCCTGGGCTCAAGCGATCTGTTTGCCTCAGCTTCCCAAAGAGTTGGGATTACAGGCATGAGCCACTGTGCCCAGCCAAAATTTATTTTTTACAAATTGGATTCAAATTAAATCAAAGTTTGTTAGAGTTTTAGGTAAAAAAAAATTAAAACCATAAACTAAATGTAAATCAAAAATGAAGTCACAGAACATATGGACAACATATCTTACCTAATTTGAAACACTTCTGCCTTTGGTTTTGGAAAAAATTTTCACTGATTTTTACCAATTCCTCCTATGGTCTAGAGCAGGGTTTAGCAAAGTATGAACTATAGGCTAAATCCAGTCCACTGTTTATTTTTGTAAATAAACTTTTATTAAACCACAGCCATGTTGTTTAAATATTGTGTGTGGCTGTTTTTATACTACAATGACAGAGCTAAGTAGATGCAAAAGAGACTGGCTGGCTGTCCCCCAAGCCTGATATTGTCTGGCCCTTAACAGAAAGAGTTTGCTGACCCCTAGAGTTTGGAGAGATTGCTAATGTCAACTGGGATCATAAACCACTGGTTGAGAAACTGTACTGGAACAAAATCAGCTGCTACTATAATCGGAATATCTGAGTTTTTGAAAATTGATTGTAGGGTACTAATCAGTGATACTGGTAACAGAGCTGAAAGAAGAAAATGAAAGACAGTGAGAGACATGTGACTGGGATCTATTCCTAAAATACATTTTTTTTTTTTTAAGTCTAGTATGGAAGAAGATGGGATGACTCCACTGAGAACTCTCTAGAGAGAAATGATCCTACATTTCTGTAGTTGTCTGAATTTAATGAATATTTGGAAAACAGATGGGTTGGGCAGTGTGAGGATGAACATTTACGTAACAACCTAAACCAACCTGCCTTCCACTTTGTTGGTTACCACTAAGATGGCTGCTGTTTGTGTTTTCTTTTCCCCTTCCAGAGCCCACTTTCTTTCTTTTGTTTGTTTCTATTTTTCTTTAACCTTTTTCCAGCTTTACCAATGTATGACAAATACAAATAGTATATACTGGAAGGTGTACAATGTGATGTTTTGATATACACTTCTTCTGTGGATATACACCATCTTCTGTGGTGGATATACATCATCTTCTGATGTGGATATACATCATCTTCTGTGGATATACACCAAGAATTAGGATTGCTGGATCAGCTCTATTTTTAATTTTTTGAGAAACCTCCATACTGTTTTCTACAATGGCTATATCAATTTTTCACTGCCACCAACAGTGAACAAAGGTTCCCTTTACTCTGCATCCTCACCAAGACTGATTATCTCTTGAATTTTTGATAACAGCCATTTAAAAAGGTATGAGGTGATATCTCACTGTGGTTCTGATTTGCATTTCCCTGATGATTTGTGATGTTGAGCATCTTTTCATTACTGGCCATCCGTACGTCTTCTTTGGAAAAATGTCTCTTCAGGTCCTTTGCCTATTTTAAAATCAGGTTGTTTTTCTGCTACTGAATTGTAAGTTCCTTAATATTTGCGATAGTAACACCTTATCAGATATATGGTTTGCACACATTTTTGTTGTGTTTCGTTTGGTTGATTGTTTTCCTTTGCTGTAAGGAAACGTTTTAGTTTGATGTAGTTTCATGTGTTTATATTTGCTTTTGTTGCCTGTGTTTTTGGGTTAAATCCAAAAAATCATTGTCAAGCTCAGTGTCAAGGAGCTTTTCCCTCATTGTTTTCTCCTAGGAGTTTTATGGTTTTCGGTCTCATATTTAAGTCTTTAATTCATTTTGAGTTTTTTTTTTTTGTGCTGTTTATATTTTGAAATTACATTTGCTGCTCTGCTAGTTACCAGGCATATTCATTTCTAGGGAAGTTATTTTCTGCTCATCACATCCTACTAATCCTATTAATTATATGGTCAAATAAAAATTTCCATTGTGCAAAAATTGCCATCTGTAATCTGGTTCTAATTTATTGACTATAGACAAAAATAATAAAGTTTAAGACTAAAACCCTAATATATTTTATAGTGAAATAAAGAAAATATAAACAAGATATACTTACTCTTAGTTTCTCACGTCATTTTTCACTTTTTAGTTTTCCCCTGTGGATCATAGTTCTGTCCCCTTTTTTTTTTTTTTACATGTACAATTGTACCCCATTTTTCTCCCATTTAATCCAACTACCAAGAAGATGGAAAGCATAGACCTTGCCTTATTACTTGAGAAAAATCTTCTCTGGCTAGAAAGGATTTTGGAGGAAAATAAGGCTCTAAGAATGTAGAGCCCAGAAAAGAGGCGAGGGAAAGTAAATACCAGCCATGGATTCTCACGAGCAGAGATGCTGCACTGAGAGCTCAGCTCCCATCTGCAGATACTGATAATGAGGTTATTGATTTTTCACATCAGGGCTGGAGGACAGAAAGGAGAGAGCAGAGACTATGAGGAGAAGAATTTAATTACCTGGTTAAAGAAAATCTGACCAGAAGGCCACATGAATAAAGAAAATAAAGAAAATACCTCATGATTTCACACTTTTAAAAAGCCCCCAAGAAAATAAGACCAATCAACTTAAAAACAGATGCTTCGATTAAATTCTAAGTTCCAGACAGTGCATCAAATGGAGGAGGAGCGTGAAGAAACTTTCAAGTCCTATTATTTTTTCTTTCCTCCTTTTTCTTTGACAAAAACTCAAATACCAGATACGTAGAGTAAGCCAAAAATTATTGGTTAAAAAAAGGAAAAAAAAATCAGAATTTAGGAAAAATGGGCAAGCTTTTTATGGGAAACCCCATTTCCAGATATTTCTTTAAACAGATTTTAATCCCAAAACCTGTGTTCCCTTGAGGTTTTTTGGTGATGAGCTAATGATAGGGCCAGCCATGATAAATAGCCACTCCCCCTGCCCATGGAAACTGCTCTAAGCTCCTTTTGTTAGAGGAGTTGCTTTTGGGGTGGACAATGCCTAATCACCTTTCTTTCTAGTTCACCCTCTCATTCTTGTTCCCCACAAGTCCTCCTGAGGTAAGCTATAGTATTCATGAACACAGTCAAAAATTTTGAGTAGTGGGCCAAGTTCCAGCTTGAGACTCCCCTTATCAGTGGCCCCAGAGGCTCCATGTCCCAGGCAGCGTCTTCCTTCTCAACATGCGGTTGTAAGTGAGAATGAAACAAAATGAAGAAATGCTTAGACAATAACAAGGGCTTCCAGAGGTTTAGAGAAGCCCAGCCACTTTCAGTTTTTAAAGTTTTTGGTAAATAAAAAAAAAATTTTTTTTTTTAAGGAAAAGCATCAAAGAACCACCCCTCTCCCCTTACGCAAAAGTCTAGATTTTAAGACTTTAGGAATGTGAAGCCGGGGACAAGTAGCTTTCCTGGGCCCTTACAACAGCCCTGATTCTATCAGCATCTCAACAGTGGAAATTGTCACGTGTTTGTATGGCTAAGTCTAACCAGATCATCATTGTACTACAATCTGTTCTTGGGACTCTCAGCCTCGAGGCATAGGGACCACCTTGGTTTTGAGTAAATTATTAGTAGTTGTTAGTAATTATTATTAGTGATCCTTTGTGACTGGGATGTGCTAATAGCAGAGAACAGGATATGAGAATGTTTATAGTGACTGGAGCTCTAAACAAGGGATGAAGGGTAAGAAAATAGCAAGCATCATGAGTTAAATCCTAAGTCAGAGGACAGAAGAGTATTCTCTTGTCTACCGGATACATAAACGGCTGATCCACGGAGTAAGGCTGTCTGTGTGAGTGTGGTCTGAACTCAAGGGTAGAACACAGAGAATCAGGCACTTTGAACAAATCAAAGAGGGTCTGGAAACAGGATGAAGCCTGAGGAGGCAGGAGTAGGAAGGAAGAAGAGAAGTCACTTTCTGAGAGTCGAAATGACTGAGTGGAAAAAGTTAGGTTTAGAAGAGCAAAGAAAAATGTCTGTGCAAAAAAACAAAGCCAAAAAACCTGAAATTACCAAAAAAACCCCCTGAAGCCAAAAAAATCTCAAATCCCTATGTAAGGCTTTACCCTCTACTGTAGATCAGCTGAGATATTATATAATCTGTGAATATATACATATAATTAATATTCCGATAAAGCTCATGCTGTAAGTTATCAGATGTTTTACTGGAAGGAATTTGTCAGTTTCTCATGTGTGTGTGTTTTTTTTTTTTTTTAATTTCGAGAGGGTCTTGCTCTGTTGCTTAGGCTGGGGTGCAGCGGTGCAATCTTAGCTCAAAATAACCTTGAACTCCTGGGCTCCAGTGGTCCTCCCTCCTCAGCCTCCTGAGTAGCTAGGGACTATAGGAGTGTGCCACCATGATGAGCTATTTTTTTTTTTAATGGGTATGAATTGCTATTTTATTGTGCTTTTGATTTGTATTTCCTTGATGACAAATGATATGAAGCATCCTTCCATGTACTTCTTGGCAATTATATGGCTTTTGAGTGAAAAGTTACTCAGATGCTGGGGTGGTGTGGGGGCTGGGGTGGCCAGAGAGACGTTGGTCAAAGGATATAAAATTGCACTTAAGAGCAGTAAGTTCAAGAGATCTATTGTACAATGTAGTGATGATAGTTACCAGTTAATAACAATATATGGTAATCTTAAAAAATGGGGCCATAGACCAAAAAAAAAAAAAAAAAAAAAGATGAGAGAGGTCTGCTGGGTGGCTCATGCCTGTAATCCCACCACTTTGGGAGGGCAAGGTGGGAGGATCACTTGAGCCCAGGTGTTCAAGACCAGCCTGGGCAACATAACGAGACTCCGTCTCTATTAAAAAAAAAAAAATGCTAAGAGAGTAGATTTAAATGTTCTTACCACAAAAACTAAGCTATGTGAGGTAATGCATTTGTTAATTAGCTTGATTTAGCCATGCCACAACGTATATATATTTCAAAACATTATGTTGTACACAATAAACATATACAGCTTATTTTGTCAATTATAAAAAGAAAAAGGGAAATAAATAATTTTTGAAAAGCTGTTCATTTGGGTGGTATTTTCCTCCACAGGCATGAGTTTCAATGAGCTAATTTTTAAATTTTGTAGAGACAGGGTGACTTGTTGCCCAGGCTGACCGCAAATTCCCATCCTCGAGCCATCCTCCCACCTCAGCCTCCCACATGCTGGGATTACAGGCTTGAGCCACCACGCCTGGCCTTCCTGACATTTTTGAGAAAAAGCAAAAGAAATATCAGTTAAATATTATTAATATAATTATA